GACGGCAACTTGATCAATGTTGAAAGTGAGACTGATGCAGATGTGGTGGTGAGTGCAATAGAGGAGGCAGAGCCTTTGGTCCCATCTTCATTTGATATGCGTGCTGGTGCTGATAATAGTTATTTTGGGCCACCTATACTTCTTGGTGTGGTCAGGGATGATGAGAAATTTGATTTCTGCATGTGCAACCCTCCATTTTTTGAGACCATGGTGGAAGCAGGACTAAATCCAAAAACTTCTTGTGGAGGAACTCCTGCGGAGATGGTTTGCCCAGGCGGAGAAAGAGCTTTTATTACTCGCATTATTGAAGATAGTTTTACACTGAAGGAATCTTTTCGGTTCTGAAACTAACTCTTACATCTTAACATGTTAGCCTATATACATTTGCTTTAATTTATTATTTTTGTTTGTAGGTGGTATACTTCCATGGTTGGAAGAAAATCAAACCTGAAATTTCTAATGTCAAAGCTCCGTGAAGTTGGAGCTACCATAGTGAAGACAACCGAGTTTGTCCAAGGCCAAACATGTCGATGGGGCCTTGCCTGGTCTTTTTTACCCCCTCCTAGAAAGATTATATCATCTCATGTTGCTGAAAGAAATGTCTTGTCTTTCATGGTTGAGGTTGGATTTTTTCATCCTACAGTTTTTGGCTTAACATGGTTTTGGCTTTTCCTTTACATAGACTATTCAGTTTGATTTTCTAAATCTAAAACTATTGCTTCGTCTCATGAAAATTACTAATGATGACTGATTTATTCAGTTCACTTGATTGGCACTATTTGGATTAGCTACTTGACCTTGTTTTATTATTCGCCAACCTCCTCTAAGAGAATCAATATAGGAGCTAATGCTGAGTACTGACACTCTTTGCCTCACGTTATTCCTGGCTTGCCTGACAGAAATTGTCTTCTCACCTCTTAGCGTGAGTGTTGTGAGAGCTTGAATGGAAGGAAAATGTCCGTGCTGCGAACATCTTCTTCAAAATTAGATGACAAATAGACTGAAGTTAAACTGAGTTCTCACCTAAATAAAACTAAGTAAACTGCGAATTTGGATTCTGTGTAATCGTTTTTTCTTAAAGCTTGTTTGCATCAACTTGTTATTATTTTTAACTTTCTATCTTATGGTTTTGGCTTCTGCTAATACGACATCTAATGTTGGGAATTTCTTACTTTTTAGGGACTTCAACATCAATTCAGTGCCTTTCATGTACTGCAATCGGTTGAATCCTTTTTTCAAGCAAATGGTGCATCCTGTAAATTGAATGCTTCTACATTTTCTGTAGACGTAAGGTTCCTCACTGATTCAGTATATTGCCTGATTATGTTGTATGTAATATTTTTATGTGCTTAGTAAACACCAGTGTTCTTTAATATAGATTACTGCATCCAATGATCATTGCAATGCAATCCTGAAAAATGAGGCAAGATATCTTGATGAGACTGCAAGTTTTGAACACAAGCAAGAGATCTCAGATGGTTCTCATCTGTCTTCTTCAACCAACTTGAGTTTTCGCATTTTGGTATGGTACATCTACATCCTTTCTGAGCACAATAAGGAGGATTTGTACTCTTAGAATCTGAAAGACTTCTGCTATTTGTTTTGCAGGTCTTTCAGCAAACCCCAGGCACACTCCTAGTGAAGGGATCATTACAGCATAGAGATAACCCACTCTCAGGTTTTCTTGCCTTCTATATTCAAACTTACGCAAAATTTAATTTGTTTTAGAATAAAAAAATCCTCTTTTTAGTTAATCTGGCTGTACGAGACATTTGAACTGTATAGATGAGCTTCGTTTGCCACACTACTCAGTCTAGAGCTACACTTTTTTCTTTTCTCTTGACGTATGTAATCCTGTGATGGTAAAAATGGATGTCTAAGATTTTTTTGTAGAGAAGGTAATCTATAGGGGCCTTCAATAGATTGATTTGTTTTAGTTGTCTCATTTTTTTGGCCTTATGTAGTCTTGCTTCAACTGAAAAGTTGGGATTTGAAATGATTCTTTCTTTGGATGTGATATAGCAGCTACCTATTCATTTTATAATTCAACCTCTAGATTTCCTATGAAACGTGTTCCCTAGGAGTGAGAGAGTTTATACGATGAGTATAGATGCCATTTACAGAACTATTGGTTGGTGAAGTCACTGATGTACTCCATAAATTTACTGAGACCACGAGCGATTTGAGCATTGTCATGGCCAAGCTATTTTTTTATTAGATACACTGAATTTTTGGTGGTTTGATTTGCAGGATTATTTTCTCTGATATTCCAACAATTGGAGGAAAACCTGACGTCCAAATTTTGTGGATAGGATCGGCCAAATAGTACGATTATGCAGCTCTTAAAATGTGATGTGAATTTTTAGCTTTCAGATCACAGACCATGTTGAAATTTTCCTGCCATCAATTGCTCAAGGAGTTGGTTGAACCAGTCCAGAGAATGAGGAAACAATCTCGAAGAAATATGAAGAAATGACACTATACATTTTGTGCCATTAGATCTTCGATTATCTGTTGGTTCTTGTTCTCCTTCAAAGATCATATTTTAAAATATGTGGGTAGCATATATATATATATATGTGTGTGTGTAGTGGGTGGGTACTTGGCAAAATTACTCCCAGGGCAATCAAGTCCGCAGATAAAAGGATAAGGTGGTTGCTTGATTTAGATTGAATGATTTTTCAATTGGGTGCCAAGCCTTCTTAGCTTGTGAATTAATTGTGGATTAATTGCTCCAGCTCATAAAAGAGATAAGACAAGAGTGCTTCCACATTTGATCAAACACTGACACTGACAATTCCATGTTTTTATATCAAATAATTCAGAATGTGTCTCATTTTTCACATGATCATGATCACAAGGAATTTCCTTTTTACTCAGGAAAGAAGTACTTGAAAGTTTATAAAACGAATTTCCACTAAAGGAAATTGAAGTGAATCAACCAGAGCTATCTCTCCATTGCACAAATGAAAAATTAAATCTACACCACTCGGTTTTTTACACCATGTATCAAAGAAGCAACAAAAGATAACTCTAAGGGAACAAACAAACAAACAAGAAAACCAATTTAACCTATCAGCCATGGAGAAGTTCAAGTTTTCTTGGATGCAAACACTCAAATTAAAGAAAGAAAATCAAGATTTACACCAGAAAGATCCAAACACGTACGTGTATATACATGAAATATACGACTATGCTTTTCCTTCAACCTTTGCATGTGTAATTCCAACACAAGCATCAACAAAATCTCCATCAATGAAATCTGTAGAGAAGATCTGCAGCCGATCGGCGCATCCCTTTGAAAAACACTGAGCTATGAACAGCCGAGCATGCCCATGAATCCTCCCTGTCACTGGTTTAACACACAGAACAGGGTTATCAGCCTGTGGAGTCACTGTGTTTTCTACCCTGTAAAAATATTTTCTTGACGAAACCGGTGCTTGCTCGCTTAAATGCTTCAGGTTACTATCAAACTTTGTTGATGGCAAGTCAGTGTCAATCCAATTATCTTTCAGATACCCAGCACTCCACAAGGGTCCTCCTTTCTTGGGCTGAGGAGATTTTCTCGGCTTCCAAACACATATTATCCTCTTCGGCAACACCTCCGCAATCGTCTTGTTAAACACGTGATCGTCCTGATGAATCAGGAACTCGCCGAGTTGCTCCTCTAAGTACTTGTCGAACTCGGGAGGGTCTTCATGGCCAAACTCAGTCCGGATTTCGAGAATTATGATCTCTGATTCGGTCTCCGACAAGAACTTCTTGATGTCGTTGATGACGACGTCAATGCTGTACGTTTTGAGGATTCCATGGCACACGCGGCGATCCTCCTGGACTCGGACGTCGAGAACTCGGGCGCCTACCGCGAGCTGTCGGTAGATGGAAAGTGATTGGCATTGAGCAAAAGGGCGAGACACCATGGGAATGCCAATTTTGTTGGTTGCAGAATCATGGGTTCCAGGCCAGACGATCTTGTTTACGTGAACCTTTTCTGCGTTGAGGCCTGCCATCCAGTTTTTCCGATCTGGAGGACGATAGTCGCAGCCGGGGAACTCGCAGCCGGAGTTTTTGCATAGATCGACCAGAGTTTTCTCCTCAGTTGACAGAGCTTTACGCCTCTGCAACTGTTTAGAGACTTGAGATCCCATGACGGATCAAGAAGAAGAAGATGGTAGAATCCTTCTCCTTCTCCTTCTCCTTCTTCTTTTTCTTCTCCTTCTTCTTCTTCTTCTTCTTCTTTATTAGTGGTTTAGGATGAGAAGAAAAGACTTTTAGCTGGTGGATTTTATTATATAGCATTGTTGAACTCGTTTGATTGGAGAGAGCTCGTGATTAAAACTTTTATTATTTTTATCATTAGTATTATATCAACTTTGCTTCTCTTGAAAATTTTCAATGGATTTGTTGTGGAAAATGGATGTGATGTGTTTGTCTGTAAATGTGGTGGGTCGTCTCTTCGAATTATTGGTGGAGAGATATAATCGATGTCTACATTTTATTGGTCCAGCTGTATGGCTAATTAAAAATTGTCATCAACTTAGTCGATCACGACGTGAGATATTTTGATTCATCATGTGGATTTAGAGTTTTTACGTTACCCTATTAGATTAATTTATATATATATATATATATATTAAATAATTATAATTTAAAAGTATGATCAAACAAGTTTCAATTCAGAAGATCTTCAAAAGATAAATGTATGCCTTTGTTGAAAGATAAGAAAGTGTTGAATTTCTTTGCACTTCTGGGTAAAACTTAATATGGATGAATGTGTGAATCATTGTTAGTTCTACTTTTGGAGTTTAATCCTGAGTAATTAAATTCAGAAATTTACCGAAAAGTTTTTTACTGTAAACCATAATGAGACTGCAAAATTTATTTTAAGGGCTTGGAATTGGTTTCTTAAGAAAGGTAATAATTAGAGTTGAAATTGAAATGGATGTGGGAATCCATATTTGAAAAGGTCATAAATTTGTTGAAGAAAATTGAAGTGAATCAACTCTAATTGTCCAAACTGAAAGAAATATTTTCATAACACAAAATCCATAATAATTATACACCACACGCTGTGTGTCTAAGAAAGAAAGAAAGAAAGAACTTAAGAAACAAACAAGAAAAACAATTGAGCCAATCATGAAGAAAGACCAGTTTTCTTGGGTACAAAAACTACAAATACATTATATGAATCTAAGAGGATTGTACGTGTACTCCTGCCCCTTTCGGCATGGGACTATCCCTTATTCAGAGGGTATTATGCCCTTAAACCTATTTAACTATGCCTTGAACTCTTGCATGTGTAAGCCCAATACAAGCATCAACAAAATCCTCGTCGATGAAATCTGTAGATAAGATCTGCAACCGATCAGCACATCCCTTTGAAAAACACTCAGCAATAAACAGTCTAGCATACCCACGAATCCTCTCTGTCACTGGTTTAACCCACAAAACTGGGTTATCAGCTTGTGGAGTTACTGTATTTTCTACCCTGTAGAAGAATTTTCTTGATGAAACTGGTGGTTGCTCCCTCAAATGATTTAAATTGCTCTCAAACTTTGTTGATGGCAAGTCAGTGTCTATCCAGTGATCTTTCAAATACCCAGCACTCCACAAGGGTCCTCCTTTCTTGGGCTGAGGAGATTTTCTGGGCTTCCAAACACAAAATATCCTCTTTGGCAACAGCTCTGCAATTGTCTTCCCAAAGACATGATCATCCTGGTGAATTAGGAATTCGCCAAGATGCTCCTCTAAGTACTTGTCAAACTCAGGAGGGTCTTCGCGACCAAACTCAGTCCGAATTTCAAGAAGTATGATCTCTGAATTGGTCTCCGATAAGAACTTCTTGATGTCCTTGATCACAACGTCGATACTGTATGTCTTTAGGATTCCATGGCACACGTGACAATCCTCCTGGACTCGAATGTCAAGAACTCTGGCTCCTCTCACGAGCTGGTCGTAGATGGAGAGAGATTGGCATTGAGCAAATGGGCGAGACACCAGTGGAACGCCAATCTTGTTGGTTGCAGAATCATGGGTACCAGGCCAGATAATCTTGTTTACGTGAACTTTTCCCGGGTCGAGACCTGCCATCCAGTTTTTTCGATCTGAGGGATGATAATCACAACCAGGGAACTCCCAGCCGCATGTTTTGCAGAGATCAGCAAGAGTTTTCTCCTCCGCTGACACAATTTCACGCTTCTGCAACTGTTTAGATATTTCAGATCCCATGTCAGACCAAGAAGAAGATTATAAAACTCTTCTCCGTCTTGTTCTCTAGTCTTAAGAATTTATATGAACATATTTGTTTTGGGGGAATTTTTTTTTTCGGTTAAGCTTTCGTAATAATTTACTAAGAAATCCTGTAAGAGAATTCTTCTTAAAAATAGATACCGTGGGAAGCATGCTTGTATTTATAAGTACTTCCATTATTACTCATCATCAGGGTCATCCAATTAGAAACGGACAAGGTAAAGTTATCAGCAAGCTAATCTCCTTCTACCCAAAATTAAACAGTTATATGGTCAGAAATACAACTACTGAATATTACTAATATTGAAAAAAGCACGTTTTACATAATTGTCATTATATTTTATACGTGGAGGAACCTCAATTCTCAAATCTGAATGCAGATAAGAGATTGAAATCCAAGATAATTAGCTGGAACCAAGGAGGGTATTTGATTAATTTAATGATTCACAAAAGATAATTATATAAATTAATCTCAGATAAAGAATATTTGAGTACTAGCAATCATAAGGGCTCATGGGACCTACCATGTGGATTCACAGTATTTTCTTAAATAGTAATTTCAACTTATAAACTTAATGTGAATGCAGGTAAAAATGGTACTAACCATGTTGGTAAGTTCTGTAATTGTCTTACCAAATAGCCTGTTAGCCGATTGGTACCATACCTTCTGGGTACTATCACTGTTTGGTCTCGAGTCTTGACTTGTGCTCTGGCCAGCAAAAAGAAGAAATTCAATTTTTAACAACCACACTGCATTTTGAGCTGCAATACCAACAAATTTTCTTTCAGAATTCTAACAACTGCAAACCAAGGGTGTAGAGATTTGCTGGACCTGCATCAACCTAATCACTGATAAATACTCAGTCAGTACAAAACATTCTAAAAGACAAATTGGAAGTTAGCATTTCTGAGGAAATTCAAAAATAAGAAATGGAAACAGACACGAAAAGAACACCAAAAAATGTGAAAGCCAACATTTCTGAAAATGTTAAGCAAAAGAAATGGTTATTCTACCAAAAAAGAGATCCTACAACTTTGTAATATACACAAAAATCCTTCGTTATATAGATCATCCAGAAAGAGAAAAAGAAAAACGGAATGCAGACTCTGATCCTAAGGGGTCAAAAGTGGTAAATTATCAAAGGTATGTTAAGTGATTCTCGAACACTGGAAGGTGGTAAATCATTGGAGTACAGGATTTTGGAATCTACAAAAATAAGAAAGATTAGAAGTCAGAAATGCTCTATAGAACTTCATACTGACTAAGATACTTGAGTTGTCCATATTGATTGTAATGAGGAATTCTTTCTTAAATTTTTCTTATTTTTTGAGAGTAAGAGGATAAAAAATAAGGGCTACCCACATGCTTCCTCTTCTTTCCATAATCATTACAGTAGTTTTCAGCAGCGAAATCTTCAATTTTGAGATAGCTCTTGATTTTAGAACAAATTTGTCACAATAATACTACAACTGGATCTCTTAGTTGAAGTACTACCAAAGACCTACTAAGCTTTTAGCTTGGTGTTTAAATTTTCTTATCAGTGCTTGGAAAGCACACAGACTTGCATACATATACAACCATGAAAATAACCACAGTCCCACCAGAAAGCCAAAATCAAATCCTAATGGTAGTCCAAATCTCAGGGAAAGCCAACATGTTAAATAATGCAGCAGACCTTCTCTCCATTCATGGATAACTGTATTTCAGAAAACAATAATGTAGTACCCAAAACATTTAGAGACACTGAAATTAGGAATTCATTTCCCTCAGTATTTTTATTGAATAAGCACTTGGGTAACAATGGGATCAATTACATGAGTTTCTGGAACAAAACCTACAGGTATATGTTTGTGGAGATTCAACTCTGAAGAATCTTATCATAAAAAATTTGAAGCCAGAATGACTGCCCATTTAGAAGAGAGGAAAAATAAATGTTACAAAT